TGACACCAAACTGCTTATTTCCAGCGGAGCCGAGCCGTTACCTCTCGTGGATAAACTCGGCCATCTCCTTCTGCAGCTGTTTGCCCTTCAGCTGCTTCTGCAGGAGAACCTCGAAGCCCGTCACCAACGTGGTGCCCTGGGGGTCTTTCCTGTCGGTCTGAGGAAGAGGAGCGCATCATTCAGTCACAGCAACAATGAGTTCACGGACAGACCGTCCACTAACACCTCCTAGTTGTTTACATCTGAGAGCGTGTGGAGGACCGGGCGGCGTTGAGTCACAAGCCGTGCTCATGAAAGCGTGACTCACACTTGCATGTCAAGGAGGGCATGCGTTGGTGTGCGTGCGTCAGTCACCGGTGGGTGGGTGTGTGTTACATGTGTGTGTGTTACATGTGTGTGTTTCTTTTTTTCTTCTGAGCACATGAATGTCACGCGAACGGTCGGGCCGGGATGTGCGGCGCTCTGCATCATTTGTGGCAAAAGAGGAACAGAAGTGTCAGATTCATGTCGCACAGCAGGTCCGAGCAGCAGGTCAGCTGACAAACAAGACAAAACATCGCAACACGATGTGACAGGCCGCAAACGAGGAGCCGAACAGCAGCAGAAGAGGCGGCGGGGGGACGAGGATTGGATTTCAGTCACTTAGACAGGCTGAAGGGTTTTTGTGTACAAATCTAATTAAGGATGGTAATGTTTGGAAAATTGCAGGAGCCGCGGGAGAGACGTCATTTGTGTTTGCATGAAAACCGATAACAGGTTTTGTTAAATGAGCAGGAGAGTGCTGGATCGACATATTGACCGTTTTCTGTCAGCGCACATAATTTAATGTGAGCGTTTTGCTTTTATCTGCTTTTAGCGGCAAAGATTTGCTCAAGTGGTCAACAAAAGGTGCTGACTGGAATAAAACAAATCCTTTGTGTAATGCTTGAAAAGGCTAGTTTATGTGCTGGGTAAGAAAAATGGAAGATCCAACGTCACATTTGCAAAGAAAACATCATCACTTTACAGGGTAGAGCTGCATGGGTTCTCATGTCTGTACTTTCATCACAAAATAGGATTTTTAGGACTTCCTGTCTTTTATTAAGCTTATCCACATTTTCAGATTTAATGATGATTAGATACCAAAATATTCTAGTTCTGGATTCAGAACATTGAACATCGATCGGTCAAGAAAAGATTCAAGTTCTGTGGCTGGTTTTTCTTCATT